TGATTGGGCGCACAGGGAGTGGGGACTGGCATCATGGAGAGGTCTGGAGAAAGAAGAGGATTGTCTTAGTTATGCTTCTCTTGTTGCTAGGACAAATACCTGACACTCAAAATGCAGGACGGAAAGGTTTATTTAGCTCACAGTTACTGGAGGTTTCTTTCCATATCCAGCTGGACCCAGCGCAGAGCACCACATAGCAGAAAGCGACCTTTCATGGCAGTGGCGAAGAGCTAGAGCATAAGGGAGTAGCAGCAGCTCAGGCATCGGGCTTCTCTTCCCTCCTTACGTCGTAATGCAGATTACCTGCCCCAGGGCAGGCGCAGCACCCACATCCAGAGTAATCAATCACAGACTCCAGAAGCCGCCCCCAAGACTGCATGAGGCTTTGGGGAGACAACTATACACAAACCATAGCAAGGATCCTACGACTCTTTCTCTGTGTACTTGACACTGTTTTGTCAAGTTTCATGGCGAAAACTATAAATCTATGTGAGTAAGAATCATTGGGATTTATAAGAAAATGATTGTGGAGCTCTTAGCCAGTGGCCTCTTTGTAGCCAGTGAGGTTTCCCATGGAGCTACAGCTGGTTGAGAACAATTCCCAGATGGTTCTTTAGACAGAGAGGGTGATGGGTGGGTGGGTGGTTGATTTGGTGAAAAGTACTGCCTGTAGCTTAAAATAATCTTGTAGAAATGCAGCCCCTTAGGAATACAGGTGTGTATCTCAGTGGATGCAGAAGCACAAGGCAGGCTGGAGCAAGGCCTGGGCACCTCTGGCTTCTAGTCTGGCCACCAGCACCTTCTCAGGAGACTCTCCCGAAGGGAGAGATCTGTCACATTCTTTCTGAAAAGTGCAACTGAGGACTTTCTCGAGACTGTGTGCCTTATATTTTACACATCATATTGGCTATACAGAAGCCAAAGGTATGCCTTTAAACAGTTAAATTTTTTTAGGTGGGGGAGGGATTTTTTTTTGGTGGGGAGGGGAGGCAGGCTCCAATGCCTTCAGGGCAGGTTTGGCTGGCTTGAGTTGTGGGGATGGAACCACATTAACCTGAGCCTGACTGCTTTGTTGAAGCAGCCACTTAAAGAACTGAGCTAAGGGGCAGGCCCCCAGTTAAATTTTTTTAAATGGTCAAAATGTTTAGAGATATTTGACACCAATGTGTTCCTACTGCATTTTTTTAAAAATCATGTATTTATTTGGTACAAGGTCGCATTACACAGCTCAGACTAGTAGTGGTCCTCCTTTCTCAGCCTCCCTAGCACTAGGATTACCAGCATGCACCACCACACCCAGTTCTAGTGGCTGGCACAGTATGTAGTACTGGAGATCAAACGCGGAGCCTTGCACTTGCCAGGCAGGCACTTAGACCACCCTCCATCACATTCTTCTTCTTTTTTTTTTTTTTTGGCAGAACTGGGGATTGAACTGAGATCCTTCCATTTGCCAGTCAAGCACTTATCCTACTGAGCCATCTCCCCGGCCCCCATCCTCCATCACATTCTTGAACTCTTAAAAAACTTTTATTTCTGAAATTCTGTTTTTTACTGTTAGAAATAGATGTGGGTAGAGCGCTGGGGAGATAGCTCAGTGGTAGCACCTGCCTATCAAACACAAGGTCTAGAGTTTGATTTCCGGTACTACATGCCGTGCTGGCTCCAAAACCAGGTGTGGTGTCACATGCCTGTAATCCCAGCACTGGGGAGGCTGAGACAAGAGAATCAGTATGATTCCCAGCTGTATAGCAAGACATTGTAGAGAGACAGAGACAGACAGACAGAGACAGACAGAGACAGAAAGCAAGCAGATGTTTACTTTCCCTTAATGTGTTATGAAGTTTCATTTTTGTCCTTGCGTCAGCATTCTGATCCTCAGAAATATTTCCTGCTACATTTAATAACCTTTATTTCCTTTCTGAAGGGGATGATCTGACAGAACTATTGTTCAGGGGCCGCGGAGTTAGCTTAGTAGAATAAGTGCTTGTGTGACAAGCATAACGGCCTGAGTTCAATCCCCAGTTCCGCAAAAAAATAAATTGTCGGGGCCAGGGGGATGGCTCAGTGGGATAAGCACCTCCCTGGCAAGCGCAAGGGCCTCAGTTCAATCCTCCGTTCTGCCGAAAAATAAATAAATAAATAAATAAATAAATTGTGATTCTTTGACAATTATATCTAGCAATTGATTTGGTACTTCTACCACAGTGATTGTCATTTTGACTGAGTTTGGAAAGCCATTTTGCTTCTAGTCATTAATTGTGATTGTGTCAATCAAAACTTCAAAGCTGCCACCCCCAATTGTCACTGACATTTAAATTTACTAAAGACCAACCATTGCCAGGATATTTCTGGTAGAGTCATGATAACTTGCTTTTCTTGCTCCAGAATCCATTTAGAATAGCAAAATGAATACTGTTTATTAATATAGTTAAGAAAAACATTTAGGTAAAATTACGAAAGAAAAATAATTATAAGATGCAACCACCAGTCGGCCAGATGATTACTTGAGTAAACAGGGTTAGATCCAAACGCTCTTGGTATCCATGTACTGTCTACTCAGACTGTTGTTATAAGTCATGCTGACAGCACTGTGGTCTGTTCCTTCCAAGGCGTGCACGCTGGCCAGGAGGAATGCTGACGTGTTCCTGAAGTACCTGCACAGGAACAGCGTGAACATGCCAGGCATGATGACACACATCAAAGCTCCGGAGCAGCAGGTGAAAAGTGAGTATGTGGCAGCGGCTGGGCTCACCCAGGTCTTCCTTCCAAACGTACATTCCACTTGCAGGAAATCCTCATCAGTTACCTTAGTTTAATACTAAAATACTGTTGCTAAATAAAATATTGCCCAGTGTGGTGACACACGCCTGTAATCCTAGCATTTGGGAAGCTGAGGCAGGAGGATCACTGCAAGTTTGAACGTATCCTGGGCTACAAAGTGTGCTCAAGGCCATTCAGAACTGCGTAGTGAGACTCTGTCTCAAAAAGACAAAAAAATAAAAATAAAATTATTAATAATATTTTTAAAAATGTATGGTCGAGTAATAATATGGCAAAGTTAGTAGCATGTTGACTAATTGGAGGAGTATAATCAGAAGATGTAACCTTAAAGATAGATATTGCTACTAACTCTTTGTTAAGGTAAATGAACATATAAGAACAAAAGTGAAAACCAGAGTTACCTACAGGCAAAATATTTTTTAAAGTTAAATCAAGCAGCTCCATAGCAGAAATCCATTCAGATTCACTCCCCTCACACAAGGTAGCTTTCTAGCTTCTACTTTTTCCTCCTTAGAAATAAATGTATCTTCCTAAAAAAACAATGAAGAAGTTATATACCAATGGAGAGTGAGTCAGGAATGAAGTGAAGGCCACCAGGGACTACGAAGCCATGTCCTATCTGAAAAAAAGGAAAAAATTATATACTTAATGCTGTTATAAAAGGTTACTGGTTTTATAGACTTGAGTAATTAATAAAATCTAATTCTAATATATTACATAGTTTAGTATTTCAGTATAAGAATCTCTAAAACCATTTATACATATGCAAATTTATAGAAATATGTTTAAGAAAATAGATATTAGGGTATAAATAATAATGATGTGGCTGAAAAATAAATTAAGTACAAAGTAATTACCTTTACCAATGTCACATTGAGTTTTATAAAAAAAAATTGGGCTAATCATTTAACAGTGATCCATCACACAAAGCCACAACAAAAAAAGAGTGGCAAAACCTTTCTACATAACCTTCTACTCAGTCAGGGCCGGGGAGATGGCTCAGTGGAATAAGTGCTTCCCTGGCAAGCACAAGGTCCTGAGTTCAATCCCCAGTTCTTCCATTAAAAAAAAAAAAAAAAAGATCAATCAGTACATAACCTTCTACTCTCCATTCATCTGACTCATCTGATGTCCCATGATACTTTTGTGTCACACTGGTCTAATCCTCCAGTCCTGTCAGAGAGATCTGCATTTATTAATTGCTGGACTTTGATTTTTGGAAAACACTTAAGTAACAAGGGCAGCCATTGAAAGCATGAATGAGTCTTTTGCAATCAAGTTTTACTGCCCTGAGAATAAGCTTACTTTGTTTCTTATAAAAATGATTTCCTTTCCCATCTCTTCTATTGGTCATCTTCTGTTTTCTCTAACTAAAGACACTACTGCACTCTCTATTACAAGTTTGATGCTTGTGTTTGTGAGTAGTATGTTTCATTTCTTCACTTACTAGGAATTTACTGTGCATTTGCTGTTGAATATTAGCATGCCAGGTGGTGTGAAGAGTCCAAAAGGAAATGTTCTGTCTCTTTCACAGCATGCTTGAGGGCAAAATGTTTATGTCCAAAACAGTGCTGTAAATCCACACAGGGTGGTAGTGACAGAAAGATGGTCTGACCCAGAGGCCACCAGCAAGGACGTAAAGCAAGGGGCTGAGTCTGGCTCAGAGCTTGAGGAAGCCCCAAGGCAGGCTGGAAGGAGAGACTGGGACATGAGACCAGATGGGGCCTCTGAGATGGAGGAGTTTACATCTGTAATATTTTCATCTAAGTAGCCCAACTTTTTGCTAAGCTTCAGAGTCTTAATTTATTTCACTAAATGAGCTCACCTGTTGAGCGGAACAAAGCTCCAACAGCATTCTGCAAGTGGATGTGCAAGTGCTGCTCTCCAGTTATTTCTCACAAAGCGCACAGCCTGCTGGGAACTCAGTTGGTGTTAGTGGAACACTTAGCATTTTTAAGGTTTTCAAGTATTACGGAGTTATATTATAGGTACCCATTATTTGATTTGGAATTTCTGTATTGGGAAGTTTTCTGTTTTTATGTTTTATAAAATTAGTCTTAATGTAAAAAAATTAAAGTATGTATACATATACACAGTATTACCTAATTTCTTTGCCAGGACATTTTTATACATCCTACATAAATGCATATATGTAGAGAAACATAGATATAGTCATAGCCCTCTCCTGCTTTCACAGTCTTCCCTCTGTATCTGACTGCAGTATTGTGTTTCGGGAGTTAGCTGCAGTAGTTCTGTAAGTCACTTCACTTGTTGCTGGTTGAAGGGCTCCTGCTTCACTGCCAGTGTCTCACTGTTTCCTCAACATTCAGTGTTTGTGCACTTTAGTTCAGATAGTGAGGGGGGTTTTCTGTCTTTGAGATAGGGTCTCGCTATGCAGGCCAGGCTGGCCTTGCACTCACTTGGTAGCCCAGGCTGGCCTGAATTCACAAGGATCCTTAGCCTCCTGAGTACTGGGATTACAGGTGCGAGCTGCTACGCCTGGCTCAGAGTTTTGTTTCTTTACATAGGCAATATTTGTTCTGAAGGCAGGTACCTAACTCTGACGTACCACATTTTCAGTGTCATTGTCTGTTACCAAAGTGCCCTGTGTTGCCTTAGAAATTCTGCCTTCTTGTGGGATCATGAGCACCTGTTCGCACTGCTTTTTCAAACAGCAGCACCAGCTCTTCTAGGAAAACATGGAAGAGAGATTCATTGTTTGAGGTTTAGTAGCCATGTTGTAAACGTAGAGCTGGGAGTGATTTTGTGGTAGAGCATGGGACCAGTAAGTGCAAGGCCTGTCTCTCACCCCCACCCCACCCCCAAGAAAAGAAAGAGAAAGAAAAAATGGGACCCTCATGTTGTGTACTTTGCCCACTTTCTAATTGACCGTTTGTTTTATGTTGACTACTAATTAATCTCATATGTTTTTATATGTTCCCAGTAGTTTTTTCTGACTTTATTTGTTCAGTATTTTGGTGATAATTATTATTTGGAGGCTATCTTTGAGTTTTTTGCCGTTACGGCTTCACATTTTTCTACTTCCATAGTTCCTTATTTTGTGTCATTTCCTCTGCTGAATTTGTTTAAAAGAAAAAAAAACCTTGTATTTGGAAACAGAAGTTTTCTTCTACTGTTCTATTTTAAATGTCACTTTCAAGGGCTGGCCAAATAGCTCAGTGGATTAAAGCATTCTGTCTTTTTGTGGGATTTTCCAGATGTTTTAATGGGTTACGAGTACCAGTGTGCATCTTTTTCTTTTTTCCTTCAGATATCTTGAATGAACTCTTCCAGCGGGAGAACAGGGTATTACATTATTGGACCATGAGGAAGAGACGACTGGACCAGTGCCAGCAGTATGTGGTCTTTGAGAGAAGCGCCAAGCAGGTCAGTGCAGCCTGGCTGCACACTCCACCCCTGCCCCCGTGCTCACCTCACCCCTGCCCGACTGGCATCCTGAAAGCCGCTTGCTAGTGCCCAGGCTGTCTGCCTTTTAAGTAGTAGCATGTTAGAACTCCATGACCTAGTGAAACTGTCACTCAGTACTGTTGACTCCCCACCAGTGTGCCGTTCAGCTTCCCTCCTCTGTCTGGCTCACAGTACTGCCTGGGAACAAAAGTTCAGAGTGAGTACTATTTAAGAAGGCATTGTGGAGTCTTAGGTCTGTGTTTGTGTAAATACAGTGGGTTTTTCCTGTTTTGCTGACTTCCTATTTCTGAGACAAAGTTTTACTCTTTAGGTAAGTGGAGTTAAAATTAATTAAAGACAAAAAAAATTAAAGACTATTCTAATAATTTAGGATAGTCAGAAAAGGCTCTTGGCTTTGGGCCAAGACCAGCGCATCAAGGGCTCCACTGGGAGAGCCCCCTTCTGAGCACCTGTGCGATGACATGCTTGGTGATCGAACAGGGAAGGTCTCCTTAGAGTGAACCCGGGGTCCTCCTACCTTACCTGTTCAGGTTCCTGCCACTTCTCTTTGGCCTGCGTGGTAGCCCAAGAACTTTCATTCATAGTTAGGGGACGGAGGGAGGGGCAGAGCAGGCAGGGCCCTCACCACTGGCACACATCATCCCGTGGGCTCCAGCAGTGAGGCCCTCAGTGCCGACACATACACACCCTGGCCTCCGCTCAGAGCTGGGCTGTCTCTGGACTGCACATGCAGCAGCATGTGGGCGGCATGGCACGGAGTAGCATTCGGTCACATCTTCCTAGCCCAAGAACAGATAACTTCTCTTCAGTATCACTTTCCCCCAAGAAGGAAGCAGCTCTTTGCCCATTTTCTGTGTTGGTCCTGCAGAGGCACCAATGCTCAGAACTGCTTACTTTCGCGAAGTCGCAAGCTGGGGTTCCTGGCTGGGGACCTGGAGCCAGGTGGCCTTTCTCTCCACTTGGCTGACTTCTGCAATGCAGTAATCGCCTCTCCACAGAGAGTGTGGCAAGCAGTTACATTACATTTTCTGTTCACTTCATTTAAATATTATTCAGTCGTACTTCAGTTATTGGAGGCTTACTTCAGCGTCTAACGAGAGATAATTTCCTACTCATTTCTCATACATCGTTATTACCTCTCTGTTGAAAGACAAGATCTCACTCAGCTACAAAGAAGCCAAATCATAATTATCTTGGCAGAGCAAGATAAGCTTGCAGCTTTGCAGAGGATGACCTGTGGCCCTCCTGACTTGGGCTTTGTGTGTAATAACAATACTCCAGTAAGCACTGATTACCTGGAGCACAGTTCCTTGAAGACTGGACCTCCCTGCTTTTGCATTTCCCAGCGTGTGCACTGAGGTTCCTACATGGGCACCACCATCCCCACTGGGAAGGTGAAGTAGCAGACGTCTCCTACCTCGTGCTTCTCCACCAGCATCCCGCCCCCTTCTCGGTCCTGTCTGTCTACCTCTGAACACTTGTGTTCTCAGGACCCGTTTCTGTGCCTTATTGTTTCTTCTCTCTCTTCTTACTTCTCTGGGGTGTCACCCAGCCCTGACCTCCGTTCAGGCCTGCAGACTTACAGATGCCAGGTGCCTTGCTGGCACGTGTGTCTCCACGCAGAAGTCCCCTGCCCATGACCCTCCTCATGTGCTCACTTAGCAGTGAGGCAGTTCACTGTCCAACGCCAGGCCTTCCCTCATCTTCCTGCCTTCATACCTTGAGACCAGGGAGGCCGACCTTCTGAGTATCCCAGCCCTGCCCTCCTGTCCTCACCCTGTGGAACCCTGCCCTCTGCTGCTTAGCTCACTGCCCTAGAATTCCTTTTCTACAGTTAGCCATGGTGGCTTTCAGAAGGAAATAAAAGCTTAGTGTACCTGCAAGGCCCTTCCTGCCCTGCACAGCCTCTCTGCCTTCCTGTTCTGCAGCCAGGGGAGGGGTGCTTCTCACAGCCGTGAAGTCCCCAGGCCCCTCTGCTGCTCCTTTAGCCCCAGGGCCCAGCTTGGACTGCACCTCCCTGACCTCCTTCTGAGATGATCCCTGCTGCTGCCTTCCTATCCACCCTTCCTGTGTCTAGCGTCCAGGCTTCTCTTATTCCCTGGGATCTTGCGGCATCTGGTTCTATGGTACATACTCTGGCCTATTTGCTGCATGAATGGAGAATTCAGGGACTCTAAATAAACAAATGGACCTGGCTTCATTCGTACCAGTATTAATATTATGTCCAAGATGGTATAGCCATTCTCAGCTGAATGTAAATGCCCAGCCTGGAAGCTGAACGAGCCTGTGGCTGAGATTCCTTCTCATTCAGTGTTGTGAAAGTGCCACCACTGCAGTGATGTGACGACAAGGACAGCGATGTGTCTCTAACAAGCCAGCAAGTTACCAGTGAGTTGCCAGTGGCACATAGGCACTAACTGCATTCTCTATACTTCGTCCCTTAGTGTGGCTTTTATAGCTATGTGTATTTCTGTAAGTCTAGTTTTCCTTCGGATCCTATGTAGAAGCAGCTTCCCTCTCCAGTAACAAGAGAATATCCAGAAGGGCTCTCGTTGCACTGGCCCTGCTCTCTGGTGCCATCACGTCTGTCCTGTGGCAGAGTAGTTGCATCATGTCACACCTTCCACTAGTGTCTCTCAGTGGTGTGCTTCTGCATGATATGGAGGGGTCCTCTGCAAGACACCCCCTAAAAGCAAGCATAAGATGCAAGCTGGAGTGCTCCAGGTGGTCACAGGTGCAGAAATAAAGGCTAGAGTGGAGGTGTGAAGGCTAGAAAGGCACGAATGCTGTGATTCTTTTTTAAGCTAAGGGCTGGAGAGATAGCTCAGTAGAATAAACACTTGCCTGGCAAGCGCAAGGGCCTGAGTTCAATCCCCAGTTCCGCAAAAAAAAAAAAAAGTTTAAGTTAAAACATCCAGTAGAACTCTCAGGTTTTAGCAATATGAGTGTTTGGATGTTTAACCTCACAAGACTTTCAGACCACCCTTTACTCGCACCTTCTCTGTCTTCTTTAAAAAGAGCTTGGTGGTAGTCACTTTTATTGTACTGTTGTTACACCTTTGGTTTGTGGTTCTAAGAAACTCTTGAACTTTTTGTTGTTGCCAAAAGTGGTAACATTACTTTCTCCAGTGCCCTATTTTTTTTTACTTTGAAATTGTAATAACTCATTCAGAAATGTGTGTGCATGCAAGGCAGTGTTTCTCAATACATGCCCACCTTGGCTTATACATGTACAAGAGGTACTCAGAACCTTGGACTTCTCTCACAACGTTTTGCGTTCCTTCTCTCCTAGGCTTTAGAGTGGATCCATGACAACGGGGAGTTCTACCTTTCCACACATACTTCCACAGGGTCCAGCATACAGCACACCCAAGAGCTGCTCAAGGAGCACGAGGAGTTTCAGATCACAGCAAAGGTGAGCTCAGGGCCCACAGGCTTCCACGTACAGGCCCAGACACCAGCTGAGGTGTTCACAGGTGGCACCAGGAACATGCTTTAGAGATGCCCTGGGAAGCGTAACAGACGTGCAGGTGTCGCCCTGTGCGAACTTCAGCGAAGAGTTTCACCCTTCCCTCCTCTGTCCCTTGGGTCATCACAGTCACCCCTCCTCTGTTCACAGTATCTGTGCCTCAGGCTGATTTTGTGAGCACTTTATCACCCCCCCTCTTTTATATCTCTGCCCAGTACTCTGAAAAAAGAGATCATAGAGGATTTCAGAAAATGGAAAGATATTCCATGCTCCTGGATAGGAAGAACCAACATTGTGAAGAT